CTCGTTTAATGGATTTTCAGACCTTTCAATTTACTGATATTCTACTTTCGAATTTGTTACAGAATAATTTAGATTTTCAATTGAGTCTAGAATTTTTTTTTTTTTTTTTTTTTTTTTATATTTGGACAATTCAGAATAATGAATAATAGATAGGAGATAAATTCTGAAAATTTTCAAGTTAAAATGAAAGCAGAAACGTGTTAAGAGTGCATCGAAACGCGTTCGTTGCTGTGGTATTCGAGTGGTATTCAAGCGTAGGTGTTTTTAAAGCGTGGGCTCATTCATAGATCGCTTCTCTATTCCACTCTCGTTCGTAACTCTTTTACCGTTTCTTACTAGTCGAATGAACAAAAAACTTTCTTTTTATTATATTCCCATTTTGACTCTAATTTGCAAATTTGGTAGAAACAGGTTTTTGCGAAGTTTGACACAAAACGTTCAGGTTAAATATTTGAAAGTTGGAATTTGATGAATTCGTGTAGAGAGTCATCAAATGGCACGATGCAATAATAAAAATAATAATAATAATCTATAAGTATCGAGATGATAAATAAATCATTTGTTATTACATATATAAAAGAGAATAAGCTGTTGGAAAATAAATGGAAGCAAGAAAACGATCGAAGACGTGCCAACTCGCAAGTGTACACCTGTTGCTCGATAAAAATCGTGGCACACTGACCCGAGTCGCGTTTTAGAATAAATTTAGTCGTGTGGCTTGTCCGCCATTAACGGTGTCGAACCGTTCTCGCTTATGGGAGACGCATTTTAATTTGCCAGACGCGAACGAAAAGGTCGAACGTGTTTCTTTCTTTTAAGTTCCACGAGACATTGTTTTATTCTAATCCTAGTATATCGCATCAACATGATTCTAAAAAGGACGAGCACGTATGCGTCGTTTAACTCTCCACTCCTTTTCCTTCTTCTCCTCCTTCTCCTCCTCCTCTTTCATCCCGTTAGAGACATCTTTACAAACTCGAATCTATTAAACTCGTTTGAAATTTTTCCGATCTTGTCCTAACATAGGAATTATCCTGAGAGATTATTTTGACAAATTAATTATTAATATTAGAATCAACTTGGTATCTACTAAAAATGTAGGAATTATTCTGAAAGATTTAATTTAACAAATTAATTATTAATATTAAAATCATAACTTTAGGTTTGTTTGGTCTCTACTAAAAATGTAGGAATTATTTTGCAAGATTAATTTAATTTGATAAATTAATTATTAATATTAAAAAGTTTATTAAAATCACAACTTTGGGTTTTTTTGGTCTCTACTAAAAATGTAGAAATTATTTTGCAAGATTTATTTAATTTGACAAATTAATTATTAATATTAAAATCATAACTTTAGGTTTGTTTGGTCTCTACTAAAAATGTAGAAATTATTTTGCAAGATTTATTTAATTTGACAAATTAATTATTAATATTAAAATCATAACTTTNTTAGGTTTGTTTGGTCTCTACTAAAAATGTAGAAATTATTTTGCAAGATTTATTTAATTTGACAAATTAATTATTAATATTAAAATCATAACTTTGGTTTTTTTTTGGTCTCTACTAAAAATGTAGGAATTATTCTGCAAGATTTAATTTGACAAATAATTATTATAATTAAAACTACAACTTTGGTTTTTTTGGTCTCTACTAAAAACGTAGAAATTATTTTGCAAGATTTAATTTGACAAATAATTATTAATATTAAAACAATAACTTTGGGTTTTTTTACTCTCTACTAAAAACGTAGAAATTATTCTGCAAGATTTAATTTGACAAATAATTATTAATATTAGAATCTACTAAAAGCAATATTAATACTTTATTAATGAACGAATTAGTCATTCTCAAGTAAGACAGATTTCGAACAAGTTTATTATTATTAATCGCCAATAAGGAAAACACAAAAGTAATAAGAGTACATTATCTTTTGGTTCTGTTTTTTTATTTTTTATTTTTTTATTTTTTTTTTTTTCAAGCGAAAGATAACTACCGTTATTCGAAAGTAACGACTTTGCAATATCGCTACAGGACAGCGTCCAAAGTGAGAGCAGGTGTGTACATACATTCGTACGAGTGTAAACCGCGTTCCTGCATAAAACGATCCCGCGACAAGAGTTTTCTGTGATCCCTAAGTCAAATTCATTCAAACGACACTTTCCTTTCTTTCAGATTATTTCGAATTTTCTCTAAATTACGTATAAATTTTACTACAAAATTTAATCATTAGGTAAAATCAATGTAGAAACATAGATCGTTTGTTTTTTTTTCTTATTTTACATTTCTACATTTCTAAGCGAATATTTTCATATATTTTTTTTTTTATTTCATTATCCATTTTTTTTTTTCTATATTTTCATGTAGATATACACATGTGTCGTATTAGAAAAGTATGAAATTCATTTCGCGTACGACATTTTCTTTAATTTTTTATTCCTCTATAAGAATAAAAGAAAATTTACGATAAAAGATACGTCGAATCAACTAACTGTATGAATGCGAGTATCAAACATGCTACAAAAATCTCGGCATACTGACCTACTAATAGCCGATAAGAAGAAAAAGAAGAAGAAGAAGAAGAAGAAAGCAACAGTCAAAAATAACGTTTGTGATTAGCACAGGTAAAACTCGTCGATAAATCTATACGTGCATCGTTCTAATTACCTCGATTACGTTGCTATAATTAAGTAGTTTATTATCAAAATAGTCTGTGATATGATCAATATATTACGATGATTTAATCTCGATCCATTTATTTTGTACTTTTACTTCTACCATTTGAATTAATTATTAATATTTTATATAGTATTATTATATTATATATTTATTATAATAAATTATATAATAAATTTTATATATAATAAATTATTATTAATATTATAATATATTATATATTGTATATTAAATATTTATTATATATAATATTATTTATTATATTAATAATATAGTAAAAAAATTATATACAATATTATTAATATAATAAAATTATTACAGTTATTATAATAATATTATATAATAACTTTTATATATAACAATTTATTATTAATATTATAATATATTATATATTATTTATTTATTATATATAATAAATAATATTATATATATATAATATATTAATAATATATATATAATAAAATTATTATAGTTATTATAATAATATTATAATAAATTGTATATAATAAAAATTATTTTTATATATATAATATTATAATATATTATATTCATTTGGTTATTAAATGTTTCTATTTATTAAATGTAATAGTCGAAAATATATTTATGTTAGATAAAGTTACACGTTTATGTTAAGAAAGTCACACGTGCGTATGTATATGCAAGCACTCGTCTTAATACGAGTCTCTTTTCATTCTCACAATCAAACCTAAGTTTTATCGTCGTTGGAAAGCGACAGGAAGTTAGAAGAAGAGCCGATTATATGGCGTTTACGTGATTGCGAGATTCGTAATAACGTTAGATCTCTTTCGTAACTATGTTTACTGTAATGTCTTGTGTAAATTAGACGGGTTTTTGGTATTCTACCGTTACAAATAACATTTCATTTAATAATCTTATGTTATTAGTTAATTGTAAAAGTTTTCTTTTCATTTAACATATTATTATTTATTAATATATTCATTAAAGGCATGTAATAAATGAGAATTATTTAAATCACTCTACAAATTTCAATTATATTTATTTTTGTTTTTTTATTTCCAAAGTATTTGAAGATAAAAGTTTTTCTTTTCAAAAGAGGATCGATTATTCTCGTTTAAAGCCTACTACCCTCCAAGTTCCTCGTTTTCTCTCTCTCTCTCTCTCTCTCTCTCTTTCATCGATCTTAGTGACCCTACCTGCTACTCGAGACTTTACTCAGCGATGATTTAATTAACAGAGAACCCTTTGAGTATTGAAGCATCGAGGGCTGATATTAGGTATAAGATTACCTCTCTACTCATCCGTTATTGGATTCTAAGTATATATATATATATATAACTTGCCTTCATTTTGAGTACGAACTCTTGCGAATTTTCTAAGATGTAATTAAACACCCATCCCCGTTATTGACTTTGTTTTCATATCAAAAAGATTAAATTGTATATTATTATCGATTAGATTTAAAAGGGTGAAATATAAATTGTTTATTTGCTTTTACTCGTATCATTCTGTACTTTATTTTTTTTCTTACAATTTTCGGCGTCCCAAAATTCCAAATAAAATTTGCAACGTGCCAAGAATATGAGATACGTGCATGAAAAAATCTGACGAAAGAGGACATCGAAAGAGGCGTGGTGTTTTAACATACACAAGCAAAACTATATATATATATATATTGTATATATATAGGTAAGATTTTTTTTTATCAGTTTCATCTTTGTAGATGGTAACTTTCTTCGTGGTTCGTTATTCCTAACGCCAACTTTTGTCGTTTCTATCTCTCTTTTGCAATCTTTTCATTTCTTTTCTTT